CTGCCTCCTCACCGTCCTGGGGAGCAGCGGCTGGGGGGTCTGTTGGCTTTTGTCCTCGAGGTCACAGGAGCTGACAGCAGTGTAGTGGCAATGCCCACACGCGCCTGAGGGCCAGAAAACTGGCGTTTCAAGTGTCCGAAGGCATGCGGCGCCGTCCCCCAGCTTGACCCTTACAGTGCTTGGCCCTGAAGAGGGGTGGCCCCAAAAGCTCTTTGAACGTTTGCTCGTTAAAACTCACTGACCGACATTACAGACGCCCCACGACAGAGGGAGAACTGTCACGTGGAGCGTCCACGGGGTAGCGTCTAGCGCTTGTGCGCAAGATTAAAACACAAAGAGGTTGTAGGTGCACACCCACGCCGAGGGAAACGTCCAGTCTGGGAACTTCTCCTTCAGCGCGTCCAGGCGGGAGGACCTCTTGTCTTCCCCAGACAGGTAGTGGGCCGCAATGGCCACCGTGACCATCCCTCCGGCGTCAGGACGCTCCTCTGAGACCTGTCGGAGAACACAGGTTAGCGCCTTGCTCTCCGGTGCCAGGGCACTGAGCCCAAGGTTCCTGCCAAAAACCACGTGAGAGCCCGCTCGGGACAGCCATGTGGGAAAGCCACACCTGCACCTCGATCCAGAACTGCCACGCAGAGGCCTGGAGTCCGTGGGAGTAAAACACAAAGTAGTCCCCTCCTCTGCTGGTGACTGGGGTGCCATTGCCAAGAGACCACTGAGAGAGCGTTGATCCTTTGTGGGCTCGGACGTAGAATGACATATGGCTTGGTCCTGTGAGGCAGCAGGAGAAAGAACGGGTCAGTCGGTCTTCTAAAACATCAGCAAAGCAACCCGCCTCCCACAGCAGACTGAGGTTCGTGCCTGTGTGACTTCAAGTACACACACCCTAAACCCAGCGGAGGGCTACCAGTTTGGACCTCCAGCGTTCAGTCGTGAGCTGCAGCAGCAAAGGCGCTGCAGAACCCAAGCGGGACGCGGGCGTGAAGTCTTGGGCCTGCCCCTTAGCGGCAACGCGACCTCGGGGGTTTGTTTGATCCCTCTAAGTCACAATTTCTCCGCCTGTGAAGTACAGCTTTTTGAGGAAAGACACGTGAAGGTGTTGAGACCACAAAGTGCTACCACAGCACAGAGGAGACTACGATGGTGAACAGAGTTGCAATTTTCTTAAAGCTGGCATAGAACACCTCAGTGTTTTTATTTTATTCGCGTCCTCCCCTCAAGCAGGAAGAGGAAACATCAGCTCAGTTCTGACAACGTGATCGTCACTGGGCACTTCCAAGGAGAGGACAACAGTGGCTGCCAAACTTTCCTAGGCCGAAAATCTCAGAGTCTCAGGGAGCACTCTCACATGCTCCTGCCCATCCTGCCGCACTGCAAGGCTGTGGCAAGCAAAGGCAAGCTGAAATACGGCGGCGGCGTTTTACAGGGCAGGAACGTGAAAGTATATCTACCTGGAGTGTCAGTCTTCAAAAGCAAAGCTTCTAAGGGAAAGATACTGCAAAAAAGAAGGAGAGGCATCGTTTGGCATTTGGGTGGTGATGGTGAAAAGAAGCAAAAGGGGGAAGTTTTGCAGGACAAGCAAAAAGATAAAAATTTTAAAAATTGGAAGATATGTACATAAAGCTCATCAATACCAAACCAAATTTATTAAAGAATCCAGACCTTGTTACACTGACAGAAAAGGAACCCATTGGCCAGGAATCTTACAAAATATTCAGAACCACAAAATACAGAAGAAAAGGATAAACAGATCCAAACAATTTATTAAGAAATCTGAAAGTGAGAACCAGTATATCTCAACTGAAGTATATTCCTTGTGGGGAAAAAAACAAACACAAAACAAAAGAAAACTTTAAGATAACATTCAAAACTAAATTAAATATACTCACACAAACATTGGGGTCATTAAAAAAAAAAAAATCACCATGAGTCAAACTCTAAACCTCAAAGCAGACAATTACAAAGAGAAAAGCAATGATTGAACTCAGAAAAGAAAGAAAACAGCGGATTTACCTTAGAAACGAAGACGAAATTACAAGAAGCCTGAGGCAGAAGAGCTTCAAATAAAATGTGCTAACAAGGCACAAAGAAAAGTAGACAAGTGCTAAGAAAATAAAAATGAGGAAAATAGAAAAAGGTAACAGTGGTTTAAAAAAAAAGGAAAGAAGGCTGCTAATAATCGTGACATTCATTTATTTTGTGTCCTGGAAGAAAAAACAATGGAAAAGAACTGTAACCAAGAAAACTTTCCAGAGATGAAAGACCTGAGTCCACACACTGAAAGGGCCTACAGGCATCTCAGAGTATCAATCAACCCACAATGAACAATTTCAAGATGTAACCTAGAAATGCCATTCAATTTCAAATAAAAAATCTGCAGTGAAAAGATCATGTAACTTACAGAGGCAAAAGAATTAGTGGTATCAGACTCTGAAAGAGGATACAAAGCAAAGCAACAATGGAACAACAGTTTTTTAAGTTCAGTATCAGAAAACGTATCCTTTGAGTGATAGAGAAAACCGATTTCAAACGCGCAGGAACACAGCACTCATGGTCCCTTCAGAAGCCCTGAGGGTAAGCGTCATCCAGTCAAGACAGGACTACAAATTCAGAAAAAGGGCTTCTTGTAAGTAAGGACTGTAGCATATCCAAACAAATACCGAGGCTCAGGGTGGAAGAAAACGTGCACACGTTCCCTGCTGTAAGGAAAATGGGGAGGAAACGGGAGGGAAAGTTCGGCCGAATCGCCGGCAAGCTGCCAACAGGCTCCTTGGCGGGAGCGCGAAAACCGGCAGGCAGGAAAAGGCGAAGTAGCTGGGAATGGAAACAAACATGATGCTAGAAAATAGTTCACTGGAGTTAGAGAAGATGTCACAGAACACGGAACACAGCAAATAAAGCAACACAAGTAGTTATAAAATGTGACAGTTCAGACCAAATGTGTCAGCCATAAAAACAAATGTAAACAGACTTAACTCACCCACTGAAAGAAAAACATTTCACACCTCATCCACAAGGGCACCTGCATTATGAACATCTGTATACCAAACCCTGAACTGTACCCCACATCTTTAAAATAAAGAAATTAAAAGTTTAAAAAGAAAAGAATTTCAACTTGGCTTCCAAAGCCAGGCCCAATCATATCCTGTATTCAAGGAACATCATGAGGCTGGGTGTGGCGGCTCATGCCTGTAATCTCAGCACCTTGTGCCGCTGAGGGAGGCCTGCCTGGGCAACAAAGCGAGACCAAGTCTCTACAGAAAATTTTTAAAAATCAGCCAGGTGTGGAAACACATGCCTGTAGTCCCAGATGCCCAGGAGGCTGATGCAGGACTGCTTACGCCCAGGAAGCCAAGACTCTGGGGAGCCATGATCATGCCACTGCTCTCCAGCCTGGGCAACAGAGCGAGACTCCGGTTCAAAGACAAAAAAGAAACATAATGGAAGAGATTAAGAAAGGATAAAAACGAAGGCATGAACAAAGTTCTTTCGGGCAAGTGGAAATTTTTTTAAGGTCTACTGGATATACGAAAAAACAATTCAAGACAAAAGCATCAAATATAAAAGAAGGGCACTTTTTAATTCTAAGTCACAATTCATAATGAAAATATAGAACAGAATATCTGTGCACCTCGTAGCATAGCAACTGCTTTATAAAGAAAACTACGAGATGCAAGGATGTACAGATACCTGAGAACTTTAAAGTATCTTCAACAGAAACACCCAAGTAAGAGACTCCACTTTGTACTCAACACAGGACACATCAATTGAACAACAACAACAAAAGATGATTAGAAGATCTAGATAAAACAATCAATGAAGTAGATCCCATAGATGTATACGGGCTGAATATTCCTTAACCAAGATGTTGGAGACCATAAACGTTTTCGGTTTCAGATTTGAAATATCTGTAATACCCAATGAGCATCGTGAGAGGCCTATGTGACATGCTAAGCAGAATCTCTACCTCACAGAGCAGAGAAGACGCGGAACAAAAACGGCTCACACAGGCCTGGCCCCGTGTGCGGCATCGTGGAAAGCCGGTCAGCAGCACGTCTGGCCCGCACACACACCACGCTACGGCCCTTAGACACGCTCGTGCAGGAAGATCTGAGTGTGTGAGCAAGAGGCCGGTCGGGCCCTTTTCATTTGAGGGCGCTGAGAGAACCATCGTGCACCCGCACTGTGATGGCGGGTGGGTGCGGATTTCCCATTTGTGAGACGACATCAGTGCTCAAGGAGTGTCAGACTTCAGAGCACTTTGGACTTCAGGTCTTCAGATTAGGGATGCTCCACCTGTAAATATCAAGCTTTATATACAGATGACACAGAACAGGCCTTCTCCAGTGAGCATGAGACACTCACAAAACCAAGTATCTGGTCACACAGGAAATACCAGAAAGCTATATAAAACTGAAATATAAATAACTGACCACAATCCAAAACTTGAAATTTTATCAACAACAAAACAGCTGTCATCTGGAAATTCGAAAGTCTCTTAAAGACTCCAGTGAAAGAGGAAGCACAAATTACTGAATTTTTTCTAAAGAAACTATTAGACACATGTAAAGAAGTGAAAAGAGCAAATTTATAGCAATAAATACTTTTTCAGTAAAATAAAATTTTTAAAAGTATCTTAAGTAAAAAAACAACAACAAAGTAACCATAAGAAGGTACCAGGAAGGAAGGGTTACAGACAACAGCAGAAATCAATGAACTAAGAGAACAGAACAAAAAAGACCTCATTTTAAAAAACAGGATCATAGCCAGGCTCAGTGGCTCTGCCTGTAATCCCACACTTTGGGAAGCTGAGGTGAGTGAATTGCCTGAGCACGTGGGTTCGAGACCCGCCTGGGCAACTTGGCGAGACCTCATCTCTACAATTAAAAAAAAAAAACCAGCGGTGTGCGGTAGCGCACGCCTGTAGTTCCAGCTACTTGGAAGGCTGAGGCGGAAGGAACACCGGAGCCCAGCAGGTTGAGGCTGTGGTGGCCAGGAGTAGCCACTGCACTCTAGTCTGGGTGACAGAGTAAGACTCCAACTCAAAAAAAAACAAAACAAAACCAGAATCATGTTATTTTTGTAAATTAACAAAATAAGACAATCACTAGCTAACTTAGGGCATCATGGGAAACCTATCATTAGCACATCTGGGAAAGCAGAGCAAAGAAAACACAAATATACAAAAAGATAAAGAAGAAGAAAGGTAATTTAAACAAGAAATTTTTAAAATCACATGGCTACTTTGCAGGCTTTTACACTAACAGATTTGAAAACCCACAAGAAATCAGTACTTTTCTAGGAAAATACAGATTACCACAACTGAACATATTAGAGATATGAAATAAACAGACTGATTTCCCGAAAGAAGGTATTAAGGAACAACTCCACAAACAAAAAGCATCAGGCCCCATGGTATTCCCAGAGGAGTCCAAGTCAACTTTTCAGTGAAATAGTTCCAATGCTCCATATAAATTACTCCAAGGCACCAAAATGGAGTGGAAATATTTTTATGAAGTATAACACTGGCACCTAAACCTGATAAGGAGAGCACAAAGAAGAAACACAGACTAGTACCATTTGTGGCTTTTAACACAAAATTTCTCAATAACAGCAAATGAAATCCAACAGCATATTGGCCCTAAAATAATAATAGGCCTTTTTTAAAAAGATGAAAATAAGCTGGGCTCAGTGGCTCAGCCTGTAATCCCGCACATTTGGGAGGCTGAGGTGAGTGAATTGCCTGAGCCCACAGGTTCGAGACCCACCTG